ACAGCAACCTCAAACTCTTGGGCTTAAGCTATTCTCTTGCCTCAGCCTCCCAAGTAGCTGGGACTACAGGCGCCTGCCACAACACCTGGCTCTTTTCTTGTTGTAGTTGTTGTTTGGCAGGCCTCGGGCTGGGTTGGAACTCGCCAGCTCTGGTGCATGTGGCTGGCGCCCTAGCTGCTGAGGTACAGGCAGCCATGAATCTAAAATTTAAAAAAATAAAATAAAGTACATAATTTTTTTAAAAAGTTAATATGTAAAGAGTATATAAGGAGTTCATATAACTAACTTAATAGTAAAAACCAAATAACCTTATTTAAAAATGAGGAAAATACCTGAATAGATATTTCTTAAAAAGAGACATAAAAATAACCAACAAATATTTGAAAAGGTGCTCCACATCATTAATCATCAAGATAAAATGCAAATAAAGCCACAGTTAGATACGACCTCACCCGTTAGGATAGCTGTTACCTAAAGTCAGAAGATGACAAGTATTGGTGAGGGTATAGAATAAAGGAGCTCTTGTGTACTGGTGGTGGAAATGTAGATTGGTACAACTATTATGTAGAAGAGTATAGAGATTTCTTTTTTTTTTTCAGACAGAGTCTCACTATGTCTCCCTGGGTAGAGTGCTGTGACATCATAGCTCACAGCAAACTCAAACTCTTTGGCTTAAGTGATTCTCTTGCCTCAGCCTCTAGCTGGGACTATAGGCATCCACCACAATGCCTGGCTATTTTTTTGTTGCAGTTGTCATTCTTGTTTTTTTAGCTGGCCTGGGCCAGGTTCAAACCCTCCAGCCTCGGTAGGTATATGTGGCTGGCATTCAACCCACTGAGCTAAGGGTGCGCCCCAGTATAGAGATTTCTTTTTTTTTGTTTTTGAGACAGAGCCTCAAGCTGTCGCCCTGGGTAGAGTGCTATGGCATCACAGCTCATAGCAACCTCCAACTCCCGGGCTCAAGCGATTCTCCTGCCTCTGCCTCCCAAATAGCTGGGACTACAGGTGCCCGCCACAATGCCTGGCTATTTTTGGTTGTAGCCATCATTGTTTGGTGGCCTGGGCTGGATTCGAACCTGCCAGCTCAGGTGTATGTGGCTGGCACCTTAGCCACTTGAGCCACAGGTGCTGAGCCCAGTATAGAGATTTCTAAAGAAATTAAAAATAGGGCTCTCATATGACCCAGCAATCCCTCTTCTGGGTGTATACCCAAAGAAAATGAAACCACCACCTCATAAAGATATCTGCTCCCCCATGTTCAAGGGATCTTTGTCTATTTTATTCTCTGTATATTTGCAGAGCCTGGAACCAGGCCTGGCATGCAATCAGTCCTCAGTGCATTTTTGTGGAATGGGTAAAGATGTGAGGAACCTAAAAAAAAAAAAAAGAAAAGAAAAAAGAGGCTGATGTTGGAAGATTGCCTGAGCCCAGGAGTTCCAAGCTGCAGTGAGCTACCATAGTACCACTGCATTCCAGCCAAGGGAACAGAGTGAAGAGTCCTTATCTCTCTTAAAAAAAAAAAAAAAAAAATTAAGGGCAACGCCACCCGAGGGCAATAGAGTGAGACTCTGTCTCTTAAAAAAAAAAAGATAAATAAAATAAATAAATACAAACGCAGAATTGTACACTCTAAAATGTGTTAAGAGGGCAAATCTCGTGTTGTGTACTTACCCTCCCCCGCCACGTGTGTGCACAAAATCTCAGAACAAAAACAGAGAAAACCAAAGGGACACAAGGAAACTTTGGGAGGTGCTGGGTATGTTTAGTCCAGAGATGTGGTGATGGTCTCATGGGTGTTTGCATATGTTGAGACTTAAGACATTGTGCACATTGACTGTGTGGAGTTCTGTGTGTATCAATTGTTCCTCAATAAAGCTGTTTACAGAAAAGCTTATGCACGTGTTGAGAGAGGCCGGGGCTGCAGAAGGGTGCAGGGAGCCATGCGGGAAAGTCCAGGAGCTTCAAGAGAATGTAGTAGACGACTACCTGGCCCACAGCTCATCCCTGTGGAGGCACACAAGTGCTTCCAGTTCCATGTCTTCTCCAGAAGAGAAGATGCTCCCACAGCCAGGGCTACACAAAGGGGAATTGGAGCTTATGACAGATGGGAGCTTCCTGGGCAAAGGGGATCACTGCATTCAATCCAGACTGGCAGCAAGGGCCCCTACAGAGAGACTGGGGAAATGCTTGTGTGGGCAGGGGACCCTGACAGTCTGGGAGCTGGGGGTCCAGGTGGCTGAGACTGCAGTGCAATGCTCTCCCAGCAGGCCTGACCACACCATCTTCTCCTTCTGGAGGCATAGTTTGGAAACTAATATCCTTAATATCTTTGGGCAAGCTCCTCTGTTCCTCAGTTTCTCCATCTGTAAAATGGGACTAATAAACCAGTACCTTATAATTATGAGGATTAAATGAGTTAATATGTGTCAAACACTCAGAGCTGTCTGTCTGACATTATAATTCTGGCACCTCTCTGGTTCTTGTTATTTTTCTAGAGTCTTTAAGGCTGCCCTCTCCTTGCTGCAGAAATAGCACAGAAACTAATTGCCTGGCCTTAATTGTCTCTCTCTCTCTTTTTTGAGAGCTGAGTCTTCCTCTGTCACTCTGGATTGAATGCCATGACATCATCATAGCTCACTGCAACCTTGAACTCCTGGGCTCAAGTGATCCTCCTGGGACTACAGGAATGTTCCACAGTGCCAGGCTAATTTTTCTATTTTTTGTAGAGATGGAGTCTTGCTATATTGTCCGGGCTGACCTTCCTCATTTTACACCCTTCTGTGCTCAGGGCTTGAAGGCTGCTGCTTTTGTTGTGGTAGAATCTGAGGGAAGAGTCTTTGGAGGAAGCCACAACCCTACCCAGCCTCTGCTGATGCTGGCTGCTCTGCTGAAGAGATGTGGGCTGCTCCAGAGGGTCTTCATGAGTAAGCAATGTCCAGCCAGCCAGTGTCCATGGGGGAGGTGCAGCTGCCAGGAGACCAAGTGTGCCCTTGGCTGGTGGCCTGGAAGACTAGGCCAGCACATAGGTGCTTGCTAAGGGAGGCTGGCAACCTCCACCAGAGTCACACCACCTCACCGGATACCAGACACCATTCAGGCCTTGTACCGTCAACCCTCTGCCACACCTCAACAAGGGACCTTCAAATGGGGCCTGGATCACCTGCCCAGATGTAGGTTTGTTCTCTACTGGGTGGTCTTTTAGACCCAAATGGCTCCCCATCTGACACAGGTGACAGCTACTATCTTTATAAAGCCCTATGTGACCTGATCCCCTGTTCCCTTCTGTCCTCATCTGCTATTTTCTTGCCCCACCCTGCTCTGGCCACACAGGCCTCCTGGCTGTCCTTCAGTCACACCTAGCAGGTGTCCCTATAGTTCCCTCCCTCACCTCCTTCAGGTCTTGGCCCAGCAGCCACCATCCCTTGAGGCCCACCTGGTTCCTTTGGGCCCATATTCTTTGTCATCTTCTAGCATACCCTTATGGTATGGTGTTTGCACTCCAGGGCCTAGACCAATGCATGGTGTTACCATTAACTCCCCACAGCTGCTCACTCAACCAGTGGACAGAAGCAGGGCATTCCGGTCCTGGTGTGAAGTCATGGGAGGCCTGAGTTTGAATGCTGGTTCTGCCAGTGAGCAGCTGTGTGATTCTGCACCAATATCTTAACTTTTCTGGGCCTCAGTTTCCCCATCTGTAACTTGGGAGCCCACTTCAAATGGGTTCTTGGCCAAGAGTGAGATGACTAAATCTCAGTCGCCTTTCTCGCTCTCTCCACCCGCTCCTCCACATCTACTAAAACGAATCACCCCAAGCCAGTATGATCGTAGTGTGACATTTCCATTTACTTTGGGTTATATGTCATTATAAATATTAACAAATAAGACTTAAAAAGGACACCTTCGGGTAGGTCAGACGAAAAGTACAAAAATTGTGTTGTGGGGCTGCAGTTTGAGGAGTTTCTGCAGCCGTCACATGGTAGCAAAACGGTGTTAAGCAGTGCACGAGAGTCTGCGTCGACGACAGCCAGAGTCCATGCATCGGGAGGTTCAGTCGGTTGGGAGGCGACAAAGGGCAGGGCATGCACAGCCCCGCGCAGGCCAGGGTGCAGTTCCTCGCTCTCGCCATCGGAGGTCAGGCGGTTCCCGCTTCAGGAATGGAAGACGCGCCTGTCGGGGATTGGCTAGTGGTGGCGGCGGCGGGGCGGAGGGAGGTGAACAAGGCGCCAAGAGCGACCCCCTGGTTACTGACACCTGACTTTGGAATGACTTTTTTTTTTTGGCATCAGATTTTCTGTCGGTGGGGCTAATGAACCAGAGGAAAGATGCCCGTTTGGGGTCAAAGGCAGAGCCGATTCTGCAGTTTCTCACAGCACTTTTTTCTTAAACAGATACACACCGGGGTCTACAGGGCCAGGATCCTGGCCAAACTCCCTGGTGGGGGGCTCCTGCTGGAGCACCCACCCTGCACCTAGGTGGGTTGGCCAGAAGCACCACCTCCCAGCCTGACCATCTTTCAGGAGAAGGCTCAGATTTGTATAGCTGGAGCAGTAGGGGCCTGGACTAATGCCTGGAGTTTTGGGTGGTTGTCCTGGCCCCTCCACCACGGACCTCAGTTTCCCCATGTGTCTAATGACAAGGGCACGCTAGGTGGGGCTCACAGCACAGCCACTTCTAGCATGGCCATTCAGTACTTTCATGTCTCCAGAGATGCTGTCATATCTTCTCTTTGAATAAAGCCCCATAAAAAAAGTAAAGCTAAGAAGATACCCAGAACTCACTTAGATACCAGGCCCTTTAAAAACAGACCACCTCTTACTTTAGGACCCCCTGAGGCTCCCCATTGTACCTGTGTGGAGAAAGGAACCCTTGCCTCAGCCCCAGGGGGGTCTGGGGCTGGATGGGCACCTCTGGAGAAGCCCTAAGTGGCATAGATGGTTTCAAAGCCAGCTACAGGGGAGGTGGCAGGAGGTGATCCTGACCCCAGCTGGGTGAGGGCTGGAAGGCCCCAGGCAGGTCCCATGTCCCTACTGTGCACCAGAGCCGCCTCCACCTGTTCTCTGCTGAGCTTCGCTTCTCTCTTGGGAAGTACTGACCTGTAGTGAGCCTGAGGACCTGGGTTAGGGTCCTGGCTCACCCAGCTCTCCAGCTGTGTCGTCTTGGCAAACTACTCAGAATCCGACACTCATTTCCACCTGTATGTAATGGGGGTGACAATTGAACCCACCTCATGGGGTTGTGAAGACTCATTAAGACAGTGCATGCAAAAACCTTGACTCAACACAAAGCCTTTCTAAATGCAGGGAGACCAAGGCTCCATAAGCAGCACAGGTGACCAAGGAACTGTGGGGGACTGGAATCTCTTTTCCCTGCAAACTGAGAAAGGGCTGGCTGGCACTTGGTGGGATTTGAATCATCACCTTGCAGCAGCAGGTCTGACCCTTGTGCCTCTGAGCCTTGCTACTGGTATTGGCGGTGGGCAGCAGGTGGGGTGAGCCCAGCACCCAATTTCCCCTGAAGTGTGATGTCCATTCTCTGGGCTGGGGCTGAGGCAGGGCCAGGGATCCTGACCCCAGCTGGGTGAGGGCTGGAAGGCCTTGGGCAGATCACCTCTCTGGGCCCCTGTTTCTTAACATGCAGGGATGGTGTGAACACACTGGGGTTCTGTAGGTTTCAAACTTCTTGGTTCTACATTCGTTCCTGAAAACTCCTTGGTAGGTGGGGAAAGTTTGGGAGCTTTGGGCCTGGGCCCTAAGATTCAGACATTCTCAGCCCCTTTCTGGAGAGCCTGACTGGATGGAGCAGGCAGGCCCTCCAGGCAGTCTCTCTCTCAGCTCCTGGAGGGCAGAGCCAGCCCAACAGGGCTTCTCAGAGATAAGCCCCTCAACTGGTGCTGTGTGCTCCTAAAAGGGACATCTGTGGCCATGGAAGGGCCAGGATACCGTGAGCCACCACCTAGAAGCCTGCGATACTCCGCCTGAACCCTGAGAGGAGGAGAACAAGGAGGAATCTTTTCTATCCTTCATTGGGCTGGGCCAACGCTCATCCTGGGAAGAAGGACGGGAAGGGGAGGATCCACCCTCTAGGTCCCTCAGGAGGAGAAAGTTCAAAGTGGGAGAGCTGGGTCTGAGGACCAAACTTGACCCTGCACTAGCATCAGTCTCTCCAGGTGCCTCCCTCCCACCCCTGCACTGTCTAACAAACTCTGCCCCTGCAGAGACTCTGGGTCTTGCTCCGGCTCTGCTCCTGGCCTTTGTAGATGCCTGTAACGCTCTTCCCCTTAGTCTGCCTAGAAACCCCCACTCACCTTCAAGGCCTTGAGGAAGCCCCTGCCTCCTCCAGGAAGCCCTCCTGACCCTCCGAACAGAGGCACCAGTACCCAACAGCACTTGCAGGCAGGCCTTGGCATTTCTTACCCCTTACCCTGCAGCCCCTGCTGTAATGGTTTGTTTCTGCTCCCTGACTAGACAGGAACTCCCTGAGGGCTCCTGGATCCTGAGTGAAGCGCTCATCAATGTGCCCACTTTGTCGGGAGCCTGTGGGAACCTCAGAAGTCCCTCTGGCAGGCACGCTTCTTCCCAGGCACTTCCGCACTTCTCAAGCAGTGCAGCAGCACTGGAGGGGAAGGATGCAGCCAGCCTCCTTTTGGCTACGTCTGGGGGTAACCGTTCCTCAGAGTCTGGTCTTCTGCCTGCCCACCTCCCTCCACTGTTCCCCGCTGGCCCTCCTGTTCTTGCATGGGCCTTCCTGCTGACCTCTAGAAGGGTCCTAGTCCTGAATGGCCCCATCCCCTTCTCCCAGGGGGTGCTGGGCCGAGGTCTGGTCCTCCCACCATCAGCCTCTTGGGCTCCCGAGGGCTAACAGCTAGCCCAACTCCCGGCCCTTCTGGTGCCTTTGAGGGGCTGGGCCCTCCATGTCCCCCGAGTGGGCGCTGCAGTGGCTCTGTGTCCAAGCAGGTGTCCTCAATCACCCCCAATGAGGGGGCTGCAGCCCTTGGTGGCAGCTGAGGAAGCCCAGGGCTGCCCATGCTGGGCCCAGGCGATTGCAGGGGCTGCGTGGCGGTGGACGGGGCGCTAGTCGCTGAGCACGGCCCCTGGGAGCTCGCTGGTGAGTGTGTGCCAACGCTCGATGCGCTTGTCCTTGTTCTTCAGGCAGTCAAACCAGTGCTTCAGGCGCTCCCCCTTGGCGTTGATGCCCAGAACCACGCCGCCTGCAGCAGGACAGAGGGCAGCAAGGGTGCCTAGAACCCTCCCCGATTCCGTGCTCCCGGGCCCATCTTCCCCCTGCCCCAGGCTCTGAGCAAGAATAGTATCTGACCTCACGCTACACTCTAAGCCCTTGTCAGCACCCAGGGATCCTGCCCCCTCCTCTACCCTGACCAGTGCCATGCTGGGGGCCAAAGAACAGGGGGCCAGAGGAGGGCAGAGGGCCAGGGCAGCTTGCTGTGCATAGCTATCGAGCTTGCCAGGGCTCAGAGTCCACCTGCTCTGCCACAGGCTGCTGTGTGGCTGCGCAAGGCCCCTTTCCCTCTCTGGGCCTATCTGGGTGCATGGGGCTGGGCTCACATCTGGGGACAGGTGGTCCATGGCCCCAGCTTTTCCCAGAGGCCAAGGAGTAGGGGCTGTGGCCTGATGCAGGCCCACTGCCCTTGGCTGAACCTAGGATTGGCACAAGGCGGGGCCTTCCCACAGTGGTCTCTTACCAATGAAATCGTTGGATTTTCCAATGTCATAATCCCAAACGGTGACCTCCAGGGTCTTCTTGGCCAGGTCTCCATGCTTAATCTCATAACAGAACTCCTGCTGGCCAGAAGGAGAGTGTCTGGGCCAATGCCCCAGCAGCCTGGGACTCACTGGGAGGCCAGGCGGGGTGTGAGGGTGCTGAGGGTGTGGATGAGGGAGGCGGGAGGTATGGTGGGTGGATTCCCATGCATCTTGCACACTTGTATCTGACCACCTGGCTGGGGCCTCAGGGGCCCTGTCCTCTTAACCCCCTCACTCCTTTGTCATTGAAGCTGCTCTCTCAAGACCCCTGAGAGACCCCTGACTACCACATTCAAGGCACACTTAGTAGTCCTTGTTGTCCTTGACTTCTCTTGGGTCTGGCTTTGCTGGTCACTTGCTTCTTTGTGGAACCCACTCTGCCACCATCTTCTGGAACCCTCCAACATCTGGTGTCCCCCATACTCTTTGGACACATCTCAGCCTCCTCTGCCTGATCCTGAATGGCTGGTGTGGCTGAGGCTCTGCTCCAGGCCCCTCTGCTCTTCTCGTCCTCTTATTCCTCAAACACCCCCACTCAGGTCTGCATGTCCAGCTGCACCCCCTCCCCAGGCTGGGGACTTCCCAGTGGCCCTGTGGAGTCTGGAACCCTCTGGCCTTGCAGAGAGCTTCTCCCCATCTTCCACACGGTCCCTTCTGTACCCTGTTATCTCAGGGAATAACCCAGGACTCCCAAATGTTCATCTTACGACCCCTGTGTCCAGCATGGCCACAGCCCTGCCAGCTGGATCCAGTGCAACCTGGGGCAGCCACACAGGTGTGGGGGGAGTGGGGTGGCTGGCCTTGGTGACTGTGGTTATTAAAGACCCAGTCCACCCAGGGCCCCCACCCGCAAAGCGTCACTAGCTCTTCATACCTCGTTGAACTCTGGGTTCAGGGTTTTCTTTTTCACGGCTGTCTTGTGTTTGGATTTCTTGTCCACATCTGGCTTCAGGTATCTGGAATTATATCGTAGGGACAGGCAGAGGATGAGGAAAGGTTACAGAGTGAGCCAGCAGGGCTCCGCAGAGCTTTCTGTCCCGAGAGACATCTCTGGGCCCCTCCCGCACCCCAATCACTGGGTTTTCCCAGCATCACTGTGGCCAAGGTAAGAGATGGACTTGGGGAGAACCAGGTGGTCCTGTCACTGATTTCTTTTTTCTTTTTTGAGAAAGAATTTCACTATGTCACCCTCAGTAGAGTGCCGTGGCTTCACAGCTCACAGCAACCTGAGGCAGTTCTCTTGCCTCGGCCTCCCAAGTAGCTGGAACTACAGGGGCCCACCACAATGCCTGGCTATTTTTTTGGTTGCAGTTGTCATTGTTGCTTAGCAGGCCTGGGCTGGGTTTGAACCCGCCAACCTCAGTGCATGTGGCTGGCGCTGTAACCTCTGTGGTATAGGTGCCGAGCCCCATCACTGATTTCTGCTCACATTCCTGGACTTAGTGAGGTGCCTCCACCCGCCTAGAAAAGAGGATTTTCTTTGTTTCTGGAAATCTAATTTTTGAAAAGCATATATCACCCACCAGAAAAATGTTTTTAATAAAGTGGTCCTTTGTTCAAACCTTTAAAAAAATGGAATTATTGAGATGTAATTCACAAATCATATAGTTTATCCTTTTAAAAGGTAAAATTCAGTGATTTTTAGTCCCTGAGTTGTGTAACTGTCACCACTGCCTCATTGGAGCTTTGAGGAAGGAAAGGGCCTTTTGTGCAGTAACAGGGAACCAGTGAGATGTCCCTCCTTCCCTCCCTCCCTCCTTAGACTTTGATGCAGGACAGCTGTCTTCATCCAAGAAAGGTGGAGTGACTTGCCTGTGGTCACACAGACGGCAGGTACAGGAGTGGTGCTTGGAAGCCAGACTCAGGCTTCTTTCTCTCTGACAAGGAGGTCACAAGTAGGTTGGAGAAGGGGGAGGAGGTCCCCAAACTCTCCTTTGCAGAAATGCTCACCCTGTCATTGCACAGATAATTATGTGACAATTGCCTCACTCCTGCTTAAGCGTGCTCTGGGATGAGGCCCACACAGATCTCACCCCTTCCAGCTCAGGCCCAGCACCGTGGAGCTCAATGAACATCTGTGGAAGGAATGCCTGACGTCCTAGAAGTGAAATTACTCAGCCAAAGTCATGCCTGTGTCCTGCTTCTTGTTTTTGTTTTGCCAAATTGCTTTCTAGAAAGGGCGCACAGTTGACACCACAGGGCCCTGGAGGAACACAGCCGAGTGCTATCACTTTAAAAAGCCTCCCTGGTTTGGCTCGGCGCCTATAGCTCAGCTGGCTAAGGCGCCAGCCACCTACACCTAAGGTGGCGGGTTCGAATCCCCAGCCCGGACCCGCCAAAACAACAATGAC